AAGACTTGGGAGGTTGAGGTGGGAGGATCACTTGAGGCCAGGAGTTTGAGGCCAGCCTGGGCAACAGAGCGAGGCCCTGTCTGTATAAAATAATAATAATAATTCTTTAATTAAAAAATTGATACCTACAATTATCCCTGTGCCTTTTTCTCTACAAACATGTACCTTAAATATAGACAAAGTTGAGATTATATATGTACATATTATGTTTTCATCCCTACTTTTTATTGTGTGCATTCCCCTGTGTGATTAAATATCCTTCAAACATGGTTTTTAGTGGCAGCCTAATATTTCATAGCACAGTCATTGTTTTTCTGCTTTTTGTCTTTAAGATTTCTGGTTTTCTTTTTGATGTATTTACTTCCTATTTCCTTTCTATCACCTGTTAATCGTGCTGTGTGGGTTGGATTTTCTCTGCTTTTCTTCTGGTGATTTGGAAAGGATTCATCCTATTTTAACCTAATATTGTTTACCCTTAAAATTTTGAAAGCACATTTAAACCCACATTCCCTAAAGCATCAAAGTGAAGAATTATATGATTTTATGTCCTTCTCCTCCCCCTACTTTCCAATTTTTATTAACATGATCTAGGTTTTAAGACCTGTATTAATTTTTTTTTGCATTATGATAATTTCAACATTGATTCATCCCTTTCAAACACCGTTTTTGACATTTCTACTATGTTATAATTGAAATTATACTAAGTATTTGGACAACTCTAATAGCTTTTCATTGCTCATAGATCTGTAACATTGCAAATTTTCCACCTATGTGTTCTTAATTTTGATTTGTCTCCTGGTAGATCAGCATTCGCTGTTAAGACTTTTTTTTTTCCCCCCATGAAGGGAATAATACTTAAGCCCTTGGATATCTGAGACTGTCATTCTGTTAACCTTAAATGTAAATGGAGACTTGACTATTTTTCTTTCCCTCAAAGTTGTTGAAATGACTCCATTGTCTCCGAGCAATGAATACAGGAAGGGAGCCTGAGACCCGTTGGATTTTGATTCCTTTGTAGGTAATCTTTTCCTTTCCTTTGTCTGAAGGTTTACAGAATTTTCTCCACATATCAGAAACATTTATCAGGATATGGATGTGTGTTGACTTAATTTCTTTTGCCTTGCATTTGAATATGTTCTTTCAATCTGTAGCCTCCAGTTTTCAATGAAGGAAAGGCTTTTATATCATTATTATCATCATTCTCATCAAGATGCTGCTTTCTCCTTGGAGGGTTCCTTGTACGTCTGTATTGGGGTGTCTGGTTTTGTGGTCCAGATCTTATTTTGTTTTCCTCCCTGTCATCTGATTTCAGAGAAAGCTTTTCAAGTGTGTCTGTCACTTTATTTTTTGCAGTATACTTCCTGCTGCTTATAGTGGTGTTTTAACTTCAGCCATTCATGCAACCTTACCTGACTGTAGCTCCTTCCCCCTGGATCAGGGGAAGAGGCCAGATTTAGTCCCACCCTCTCATTTACATATCATTTCTGCTTAGGGAAGCCTTGTAAAGAGATCACGTGGCCTCAAAGCTGTGCATATTTTCTGTCTCGCCTTTTAATGGAAAAGTTTGCTGACCTCTACTTTAGATTTATTGACTGATTTTTTTTTCATACAAAAGTCCTCATGAATCTTCCTGAAAAACAAAGCTTCCCAGACGTTCTCTTTCTTTTTTCCTCTTGGTAAATCTATCTCATAGGAAAATATTTCTTGTGATTATCCTCATTTTTAAAATTTTTTACTTTTCGGGGCTGCAGTATCTTTCTGCTTAGTTGGTCGCTTGCTTCTGTTTGTTCAGCCTTACAAAGAGAGGCTGTGTGCGGAGGTACTGTGAGTCTAAGAGAGAGAGAGATGTGAACACCATTCTGAAACGTTTAGGTTCTGCTCCCATCCCCCCAATGCTTTTGTTTTACTGAAAAACCAAAATCATCCTTGTGGTGGGTGATGTGTGAGATTAGCAGAAGGTAGGATTTATTCTTAGGCAGTAAAGGAAAGACAGGGAGAAACTGAGGCTCAGTGAGGCTGTATCCACATGTGCTCAATTTTGAATTTAAACACCGCCTGCTTGCTTTGACTTTCCCAGTCCCACTTCTCAGCTGGTGGCCTGATCTCCAGTTGTTCTGACTTGATTTGGTTTCCAGCTGGCAAAACATCACCCAAGGTTCTTTGGCACCTGAAGCTCTGAGAAGCCTGTGATGCTGTCACTTGAGAAGTGGACCCCACAGAACTGCAGGAGAGAAGGGTGGGCATGCAGCTAATTTTTTCCATGCAACTATTTTTGAAAATATTTAGAGAAATTACAATTTGAGGTTTTTTGTTGTTGTTGTTGTTTGTTCATTTGTTCATTTGTTTTTCTGAGACGGTGTCTGTCTGTCACCCAGGCTGGAGTGTGGCTGTATGATCATGGCTCACCCTAACCTTGACTTCCCAGGCTCAAGGGGTCTTCCGACCTCAGCCTCGCAAAGTAGCTGGGACTCCAGGCGTGTACCACTGAGCCTGGCTAAGTTTTTAAACATTTTTTGGTGGAGACAGGGTCTCATTATGTTGCCTAGGCTGGTCTCAAACTCCTGGGCTCAAGTGATTTCCTCAACTTAGCCTCCCAAAATGCTGAGATGACCAGAGTGAGCCACTGCACTCAGCCAAATGGAATTTTTAAACTGTTGTTTGTGAGTTGTACACAGCCATAAGTATTCTTCCTGTCAGTTGCTGTTGAGACTGCATTGGGTACCATATTATGTACTGATATATAGGTTAATTACAGGAGGGGCATGGAGAAGAGAAGGGGCAGGGTGTGAGCACCCATTTTTTACACAAATGAATTTTAAAAATGAGATATTTTCGTAATTTAGTCAATTCCAATTATCTCCACTTCTGTAAGGGAGGTGTGATGTGTATCATAGAAACCAGAAGATAATTTAAACATTATTTCACTGTGTTTTGTGATATCATATATTAGGAGCAAGGGAGCCTCCCCCAAGCAACCCCCCAATAGATTTCCCTTCTGGTCTGTACCTGCTTGGGCTGGTGTTGAAACACTCCCAGATTTGCTGAAATGCTGCCATGGGTCTGAATATCTGGGGGAGCAGGGATATGAATTGAAAATGCCTGAGGGAAATAACACACGGAGCCTGAGACCTGGACCCCATCCGGCATCTCTAACCCCCTAATGTGCTGTGCCCTGATAGAATCCTCAAAATCAAATTGACCGTAGCCTGCTCACGGCTCTTTGGGCTTTCCCTGGGGTTCCTCTCCTGTTGCCATTCTATCTGCATCTGGCTCCTCTTGGATGACAGATGATGACCAAGAAGACCGTTTTTCAAATAAGAAAAGGGGTGGGAGAGCTTTTCTCCAAATGTAAAATCTCGTTCGTGTTAAAATCAACAGTGATAACTATTACTACACCTCCAGTTCTTACCTTATTCTTCTTCATGCAATGTTTAAATTAGGGGTTCTGGTTCAGAAAACTGTCTGCTCAGGGATTTTGATCCTCAGAGCTATTGTCTTTGATCAGACAGCAGCCCAAGGGGTCCGAATGCTCCACGGCTGGGTGGCAGGAGGAAGAGCGCCGGCTCTGGTTCCATCGTGCTGTGTAAAGGCACATGCTTTACCTAGGCCTACGTAGATGTGTTCATTTATACTTCCTAAGCTGCATATTTCAGGCTGTAATTGCATCCTGTGTCCCCACAATATTATAGACATGAAGGGAAAATGAGGGCTTTGCACATTCCCAGAGATGTAATTATGGTAATAGGCAAACCTCATCTGCAGTGCTTGTCCCGTTAGGCATTCCGCCCAGCTCTCCACTGCACGCAGCTTGGGAGGGGATGGGCTTGGCAGAGGGACCGTTTCCAAACTTGGATTTCTTGGGTAACTTTTTACTGCACTATCATATTCAGGCAGCAAAGTGCGCATGTGCTAAGCGTACACCTTGGTGAGTTTTCACATGCTGAACTCCTCCATGTTGCCTGTACTGAAACCAAATAAATAGAACATTCCCATGCTCCAGAAATCCCCTTCTGTTCCCTCCCTCCAGGGTCAGCCACCAGCCTGACTTCTTACAGCGCAGATGTGCTTTGCCTGCTTTGTGCTTCATATGCCTGGAATCCAGTGGTCCATGCTCTCTTGTGTCTCCTTTCTTTTGCTCTACTGAAGTTTGTGAGAGAAACTCGGCTCACTCTATGCAGCTGTGGTTATTGCGGTGTAGCATTCTGCTGTGTGGATACACTAGCATTGATTTTTCCATGTTATTGTGGATGAACATTAGAATGGCTTTCAATTTTTGCCTTCTATGAACAGTGCTGCCCTCGATATTCTCATGTGGGTGTTCCAGTGACCATCTATCTTCACATTTCTCCTGGAAATATACCATAGAGTGAAATTGCTGGGTCACAGCCTGTGTGCTGCTTTGGTAGAGCCTGCCAAGCATATACTGAATTTTTTTTTTTTCAATGGTGTGATCTCAGCTCACTACAACCTCTGCCTCCTGGGTTCAAGTAATTTTCCTGCCTTGGCTTCCCGAGTAGCTGGGATTACAGGTGCCCACCACCATGCCCAGATAATTTTTGTGTTTTTTGTTTTAATAGAGACGAGGTTTCGCCAAGCTGGCCAGGCTGGTCTTGAACTCCTGACCTCAGGTGATCTGGCCACTTTGGCCTCCCAAAATGCTGGGATTACAGGCATGAGCCACCACACCTGGCCTTATACTATGTATTTTTAAAGGACTTTTTGGTTCTGGTAGTCTGGTTAATATCCTCACCAGAAAATAGCAGGAAGAGGGTACCCTGTCATTTTTAGACTGCATGGTGTGATGGGTTTTGGAAGGAAATAAACTTGGGTATATTCGCTCATGTCTTATGGTGCCACTGTTTTAAATGACAAGATGTGTTGGTTTCCTACAGCTGCTATAACAAATGACCTCAAACTTGGTGGCTTCAAACAACACAGATTTATTCTCTTATAGCTCTGGGGGTCAGAAGTCCAAAATGGGATTCACTGGCCTGAAACCGGGTACTCACAAGGCTACATTCCTGCTGGAGGCTTCAAGGGAGAATTCATTGCCTTGCCTTTTCCAGCCTCTGGGATGCCATTACTTGGCTCATGGCTCCTTTTTGCATCTTCAAGGCCAACAATGTAGCATCTTTAAATCTCTCTGCTCTGTCTTCACACTGCCTTCCTCTCTGTGTGGTAAAGTCTCCCTCTGTCCTTTTATAAGGATACTTGGAATTGCATTTAGGACTTATCAGATAGTTTAGGATAATCTCCTCCGTCTTAAGGTCCTCAACTCAATCACATCTGCGGAGTCTCTTGCTCTAGCAGGTAATATATAAGGTAGCATTCACAGATCCCAGGGATTAGGACATGGGCATCTCTGAGGACCATTATCTGGCCAACCACACAGGGAAGTATCATCTCTCCATTTTTACCATGTCATCCTCAGAACCTGCCTTTGTGACACATCATAAATGGCACCACAAGCTGCCCAGTTGTTTAGCACCTCTCTGCGATGTTTCTCACATTGTGAGGGAAGGTTGATGGATGCAGTGGGAGAAATGTGCTTAAAGGATAGATGACTTAAGATTTGTTTCATCAAATTGTCATTTACCTCCAGCAGTAATGAAGACTAAAATGGATAGGCAGAAAAATATCAGTGCAGTGTGGGATCTTGGATTGGATCCTGGAATGGCAAATGAACGTTAGTGGCAAAACTGATGAATTCCAATTATAAGCCTATAGTTTGGTTATCAGTACAATATTAAGTTTGTTTCAGTAGTTGTATCATGGTTACCTGCAACATGTTAATATGAGGGGAAGCTGGGTGCCGGATATACAGGAATCTGTATTAACTTTGCAACTGTGCTATAAATCTAAAATTGTTTTAAAATAGTTAAAAAGAATACAAGGTACCCACTTAGGTAGCAGAGAAAAAGCTCCAAATTTCTTATGTTTATGTGACATGGGAGACAGGGTTCTGTGTTGGCAGAATGAGTTTAGATCTGGAAGGTAATGATGAAGTTTAAAAAAATGCAGACCCATTAAAGTATAAATGGAAACTCTAATGGTTGTGAGACAAATCAGATGGTGTTGGTTATCTCTATGGGGATGTAGGAACCAGGTCTCCATCCAAGGTCTCCCAGGTGGGCTGGGCTGAGGGTGGTCCCTGGGCATGAATGGAGAGGGAGCCCTGCCCTCAGTCTCTTGATTGATTTGTCAACACCTCCCCAGCCCTCCTCCCTCCCCTCCACTGCCCTGCTCTCTTCCTGGCCCATTCTGGGCTCAGCCTGTTAAGGGCTCCCCAGTGGCTGCTGGCTCACAGCTGAGTCGTTATCTTCTCGTCACACACTTATCTGGGCATGGTTAGAGCTCCGTAATAAAATTTGTCACTGACTTTAATCCCATCACTGTCCAGACCCGGTTGATTAGTCCCTCTGGTTGTTTTGGCTGAGTTCTGTACCTCCAGCCTCTTCTAGGAAATTGGTTGAGATGGAAGTTCAGAGCTCTCTCTTGGCCTTATAAAAAGAGAGTTGGGGAGAGATAGCATGGGGAGAAATGCCAGATATAGGTGATGGGGAGGAAGGCAGCAAATCACACTGCCACGTGTGCACCTATGCAACAATCTTGCATGTTCTTCACATGTACCTCAAAACCTAAAATGCAATAAAATAAAAAATAAATAAATAAAAATAAAAAGAACAGAGAGAATGGGAAGCGGGACCCCCAAACACATCCACCAGAAATACGTATCAACTGTTTCATCTCCCTCCTGCCCTCCCAGCGGCCCTGTGTCAGACCCATCAGGGCCAGAGGCAGGGGAGGGGCACCTTCTTTTGTCCATGCTGTGAGCTGCAGAAGGCTGACCTCACCTGCATTCACCTGACAACTTTGCGTGCCCCGCATCTTCCTCCCGGGCCTCCAGAGATGGGTAGAAGGGTTGATGGTCAGGTCTGGGCAGGGGAGCAGAGCACCTGAGGCTGTAAGTCAGGTCACTGGGAGCCAGCACCCACACCCTCAAACTGGCTGAGGACCCTCTGGGCCCCACTCCCCCACCCTTCTGCCAGGCCACTGGATCACCCTGGCAGGCTTCTCTGTTTGTATCACCCTCTTCACAGCTGCATGCTTGATGCACAATTTCAAAACCCAGAAGGAGAGGGTGTGTGTGGAGAATGCAAAGGGAGGATTCTCCAAGGAGCATTTTCACTCTGCAAACATACTGCAGGGGCTCCCAACAGACAGGAAGACTGTGCTTGTGTGTGTCATCCAGGGTCTGCATGCAGGCTTATGTGTGAGTGAGTGCATTGGGGTTTGGCGTGTCTCCAAGTGTCAATTCGAGCGGCCCTCACTCTGCGCGTGTGTGTGTGTGTCTGCACGCGTATCATATACTTGGGCACACGTGAACCTGGCCTGGCCCGGCCCTTTCCTCCTTCTCATGTTCTGCTTTGCTGCACACCTGATACCTTCCTCTATCTCATTTCCTCTACACCATCCTGAGAGCCGGGTGCCCCTCCCCACCCCTGAAGTTGAACCTGTTCTCTGCAAATACATGTTTTGTCTTGGCTCCGTGGTTTTCTATCCTTGGGCTGTCTGGGCTTCATGCTCTATTTTCAGGTACCTGCCGGGAAGGAGGCAAACACTGGAACAGCCAGAGTGCTGGCCACAGATACCTGCCAGTGTGTGTGAGTGTAAACAGAGCCCGGATGAGGCTGCAGGCTGACAGCTGGGGCTGTCTGTCTCTCTAAGGTCTCCCTACCTCCTCAGTCAGGGTGGTACCTCTGCAGCCTCAGGCCCCCACCCAGGGCAGGGATGCACAGAACCTGTAACTCTTGGCCAGCACTGGCCCCATCAAGGGTGCTGCAGGAGCTATGGGAAGGTGGACAGCCCACCGTGGGACAGGAAGAGATCTGGACGAGTTTGCCAAGGCTGCCATAGCACAGTACTATGGAGTGGGTGGCTCCCACATTGATTCCCTCACTTTTCTGGCAGCTGGATGCTCAAGCTCAAGGTGTAGGCAGGGCTGGTTTCTCCTAAGCCTTCTCTGTTTGGCTGTTTTCTCCCCGTGCCCTCATCTTATAAGGACACCAGTCAGTTTGCATTAAGGTCCACCCTACTGACCTCATTTTAACTGAATTACCTCTTGATACGGAGGGTTGGGACTTCAACAAACGAATTTGTGGAAAGGCAGTGGCAGGGTTTGGGGGGCACACTTCAGCTCAGAACAGCATCCTTTCTATGCCCTACTCTACTCAGCCTCCTTTTGTGGGGCCGTTTCCCAGCCAGCTTCTTGTCAAAGCCAAGAAATGCCCCTCACAGAAGCCAAGCCCCTCTTCTTGCATGGGTGATAAGGCAGTTTTGGGTTTTGTGGCTTGCAAATTAACTGCAAAGAAAATGGAGAGGTTGTTTGTTGCTGTTCTTAAGGAGAAGGCAATGCAGTAGCAGGAACAAGAACTTTGAGATGAAACTTAAGAGTCCTGTCGCCTTGATCAAATGGCTTCCCCCCTCTGAACATGTTTTGTCTGTACGATGGGACATGCATTGTGAGGACTGAGTGGGAGAACGTGTATCACATGCTCAGGACAGTGCCCAAAGTGCAGTGGGTGCTCAAAGGTTACTTGCTCCCTTTACTTTCACTGACAGCATGGATGCTGCTGCTGTTCCTGCACTGGAAAGTGTGGTGATGACAGACACGCTAAACCAGTGCGCTGCTGGGCAAACATCTGCCCACACCAGCAGGGACAAGGGTGTGCTCAGCACATGGCGCAAACCTCATTCTGCTCTTTCACAATAAACCCCACTCAGGTGTCCTTTGTGCCGATGGTGGGTCAAAGACCACATCTCTGGATACAAATGCTTATTACAGTCACTGAAAGTGCTATGAGGTCTTGAAGGGGAACTTGGACACAGCGTTTAAAAACACTGATTGTGGGCAGAGGGCGCCATGGAAAACTGGAATTCCTTTTTCTTTCAGGGGCTGTTCTCAGACCTGAATGTGAATTGGGATCTTCCTGGGGAGCTTGTTAAAACACACCCCTATAGTGTCTGAGTCAATAGAGCTAGCGCTGATCCAAAAGGTGGTATTTCTCACAAGTGCTGAATGATGCAGCTGCGGCTCGTCTTAGGGCCAGGATTGGAGAACCGTGGCCCTGGATAGGGCCTGCATCTCCTTTCTCTCCAGCCTTTCCCATCTTTGCCGCTCTCCCGCCTACCTGATCGGACTTCTCTTCTCTCTTCCTGGGGAAAGGGCGGGTTTTTTGACTGGCTTCCGTCCTCTCCCTGATTGACACAGGATTTGCATCTGTTCATGGGCAACTGGTTTTTTTTTTTTGTGGTCCTTATCCTTCTTTTCTCCTTTTCCTCCACTTCTCTTGTCATTTTGGGGCCTCTACTTAATTCCCCATGGCCAAAAAGTGGAATGTGGTACATGCTCCTTAACTGTTGCCTGCAGTGACCCCAGTTAGGAGGAGGCAGATGCAGAAGGAGCATCATCCTCATCTTCGGAACTCCCAGGTGCCTCTACCCCAACACATATCCATTCCCTGGTCCCAATTCCCTAATCACTTTGCCAGAGTAAATAATTGCTGGTGCCTGGTGACCCAAGGTCATAGCCAATGGAGGAATGTAATTAGGACCTGCGTTTCTGACCATCTTGGGAGCTGTCTTACAGCTGATACGTTTCTCTGAGCCCTTGCACTGACACTCATATCCAACCCTACCTCTCCCCTTTGAGGACCAGAGAGCCTGGGTTGGAAGAGAGTTGCTTGTGAATAGATGCCCGTGCTGCCTTTCTTTGCATCTCTCCCCACAGAAGTGGGAGGGCAGAGCATCAGCCCCCACAGGGAGCTGGGAGCGGGACCCTTACACCTTTCAGATCATATCTTGTAGTGTATGAGTGCTCACTAATGAGCCTTGCAAGGAGAGATTTGAGACTAGAAACTCACTCAGTGCCATGTCTTTTTGGATTTCCCAAGACCTCATGGCCACTATTGTTTTCCTTGTGTTGGCTATGTTAGTTCGTCTTTTCCTGGCCTTCTGAGCCCTGCTAACATGTACTTGGTAGAGATGGGCATGCCACGGGCTCCCTGGGTTGACAAGGCCTGAAGTGACTTGGCGTGTGTCCTGATGGGTGGGATGCTAACGTGGGAGGCAGAAGCCTGGCCTTTTATTCCTGTCTCTTCCATCTCTCCATGCTTGAACGATCTCTCTTTCTATTAATTGCATGGTGCTAGGATGCCTTGCTGGGGGAGATGATGACAGATACAGGCTTTTGATTTCAGTTGGAATTATCCTCCTGGTCAAAGCAGGGGAAGAAAACATCTTCTTGCCTCCACTCTGACTCCCATGGCTAAGCCAGACTTGAGGCAAAAATAAAACCAAAAGAAAAGGGCAAGAAACTCTTGTGAGTCCTTCTAGCATCCCTTTGTGGAATGGGAGAGGACTCTTGGGGAAGGAAGAGGGCAGGGAATGTGGTGTAACATTTTGGCATCTGATACTTTGAGCTTCCTTTTGGGAAGAACTTCCAGACTGCCTAAAGGGAGCAGAAGTTTGATTGATTTAAGAAAGGTGGGAATCATTGACTGTCATGTCTAGGAGGGAACTGCCTACCAATGAACTTGCCCCCCTCCCCGCCCCCCCACACAGCCCCAACCTCTTCCTGTGTCAATCACTCCCGGGCCACTAGGGCAGCTTGGGAGTGTGAGCTTGCTCTCTTCCAGGGGCCGGCACTGCCCTCTTTTCTTGGCGTCCCATGAGGTCCATGGACCAAGCTCTTGCCTCCTTCTAGAAAGAATTTGTGTGCGCAAAGATGTTTCCTTGACAGCTCAGCTCATTGCCCTTTACCCACTGGGCCCATCAGGCAGGGCTGACAACAAGAGAACAGGAGACCCCACAAAGGAAAAAGCCTTTCCTTGCTGGACATCAGTGCTGGCTAGCCCTTGCTGAAATTTTGACTTGGGACCAGGCTTCTGTTTATTCCTATTTCCCCAACTTTCCAAGTACTGGACGCATCTGCCCTTATGGATGTGCTTTCCCAAATACCCGCTAAGCTGCTCAGCGCATTTGGCTCTTGTTGGTAAAGGGGATAATGATGTGAAGTCTGTGGCTGCTGCTGCCCCCAACCTTTTTCCTGTGATAACCTCAAGAGGCCTCAGAGCAAGGATGCAGTAAAGAGGAGGACCAGGGTGCAGACTTCAGCTAGAAGGATTGGAGTACAACCCAGCCACTCCTTAAGATGAGATGCTCATGAGGGGAGGACTTTTGGACCAGCATGGATGGTCTTGGCTGTGCAGGGTGGGCCCTGAGTCCCTCGTGATCTAGGCTTACTGCATCTGGCTTCATGCTCCTTCCTTAGACATGGTCTTCCACGAGGCATTGCAGTCAAGTGCCATTTTCACAAAAGTGGCTGGGGGCTGGTGAGTAACTAGGACTTCTGGGTTTGCATAATCTGCACTGTGAGGGTGTGGCTGCAGAAGAAAGGACGGCCTGGGATTTTTCTCTGGCTTGAATCATCTTCCTGGGCTCCTTGGCCTTGGG